AGGCGCCTTAGCACGGCATCGTGCACGGTAAGTCTGGGCCGCAAGCTTAGGATTTAACTGCTGTTCGCGCTTAAATGCAACCGTTAGTCGTTGGAATCCGCATGTTTAACCGTGTCATCTTTACTTGTGCAGGGTCTCCTCTCCGCAGAGTTTGTGTTTGAAGCTCTGAAGGACTGCGCGGCCTCAGCTCTAACGAGGCTGCGACGTACGTGAGGCGCCTTAGCACGGTATCGTGCACGGTAAGTCTGGGCCGCAAGCTTAGGGTTTTAACTGCTGTTCGCGCTTAAATGCAACCGTTAGTCGTTGGAATCTGCATGTTTAACCGTGTCATCTGTACTTGTGCAGGGTCTCCTCTCCGCAGAGTTTGTGTTCGAAGCTCTGAAGGACTGCGCGGCCTCAGCTCTAACGAGGCTGCGACGTACGTGAGGCGCCTTAGCACGGTATCGTGCACGGTAAGTCTGGGCCGCAAGCTTAGGGTTTTAACTGCTGTTCGCACTTAAATGCAACCGTTAGTCGTTGGAATCCGCATGTTTAACCGTGTCATCTTTACTTGTGCAGGGTCTCCTCTCCGCAGAGTTTGTGTTTGAAGCTCTGAAGGACTGCGCGGCCTCAGCCCTAACGAGGCTGCGACGTACGTGAGGCGCCTTAGCACGGTATCGTGCACGGTAAGTCTGGGCCGCAAGCTTAGGGTTTTAACTGCTGTTCGCACTTAAATGCAACCGTTAGTCGTTGGAATCCGCATGTTTAACCGTGTCATCTTTACTTGTGCAGGGTCTCCTCTCCGCAGAGTTTGTGTTTGAAGCTCTGAAGGACTGCGCGGCCTCAGCTCTAACGAGGCTGCGACGTACGTGAGGCGCCTTAGCACGGGGGGCATGGCCTGGCATGATGCGGTTCGGGGGACATGGTCTGGCATAATGCGGTTTGGGGGGCATGGCCTGGCATGATGTGATTGGGGGGCATGGCCTGGCATGATGCGGTTCGGGCGGCATGGCCTGGCAAAATGCGGTTTGGGGGGCATGGCCTGGCATGATGCGGTTCGGGGGGCATGGCCTGGCATGATGCGGTTCGGGCGGCATGGCCTGGCAAAATGCGGTTTGGGGGGCATGGCCTGGCATGATGCGGTTCGGGGGGCATGGCCTGGCATGATGCGGTTCGGGCGGCATGGCCTGGCAAAATGCGGTTTGGGGGGCATGGCCTGGCATGATGCGGTTCGGGGGGCATGGCCTGGCATGATGCGGTTCGGGGGGTTTCGTTTGTGTGTGTGAGCAGACTTGCAGACTTTGTCATTAGTGCAACTCATGCATCAGGATGCTGCTGTTTTTGCTGCTCTAATTACCGAGCCTTGTCAATCTTGTAACACAAAGACGAACTTCTGCACTCATCCCTTCGACTCGCATACTTTGCACTTC